GAAGTGGAGCGTGAAGCTCAAGTTGTGTTCAATAAATAAATAGTGTTAATTGAGTAAGTAAGTAAGTAAGTAAGTGTCATTTTTTTTGGATTAAAAGCCTGTTCCAATCGTCGATGGAGAGAACGAAGAGCAGTAAGCCGAGAGAAGAGAAGCAGTCCAGGAAGTAATAGAGCCGATCGTCGTGGGTAAGTCGTACCAGCATTTAATCAGTCGTGTCTCGTCGTTGGCATTTCTGCTTGCCAAATTGTTCGAGCAGAATTCCCTCTGAGCGAAAGAGAAACTCAGAGGTGTTGAGTTGTTTTATGTTGAGCCGAGCTTGAGTCATAGTTTATTAATTATCTCTAAAATTAATTGGCGCCTGACGGCGAAATTTATTAACTTAAATTTCAAACTTTTTGATTGTTGAAAGCGTCAGATTTTGACTGACGTAAGCAGAGTTTTTACTAAAATTAAAATTAGTTCAAAATAATACGTCACACAGATAAGGAGTAGTTGACCAATATTATCGAATTTTAGCTTTAATAGGGTAATCTGTACAATGGTTGGCCACCCCACAATGATTGGCCGTCTAGTTGAAATATAAATATAATAAGAAATAACTTCTATAAAAACATTTTATAAACCATGGTTAATAAACTTAATGCAATCGTGCAGCCATTTCGACAATCATACTTATGTTGTCTATTGTCATTAATTTTAATGTAATTATTTATTTACGTGTTCCAAAAGAACAGCTTGACAGCTGCGAAGCTTATGGTGGTAAGTAGTGCATCCTCACAGAAAATTTGTCATTTTGTCGTTTTAAAACTACTTTTTTGAGAAAATTTTTTTTATACTTACTAAAGGTGTTTAAAAATAATAATAAATAGTTGTTTTATTAAAAAATATTACATTTTCTTAATTTATAAGTAGGCCAATAATACTCTCTTTCAATTATATGAAAACGCAATGATTGGCCAGGTTGGTTTCAAAGGCCAATGACTGTATTTTTCAAAAAATTATTAAATAGTAAAAAGAACATTATATAACAGTTAAATAAATGTTTTTAAATACATTTTTGGAAATAAAAAATTTAAAAACCCTCGAAATACAATTTTTGGCCACTGCCAATGATTGTACAAGTGCAGAGGCCAATCATTGAAAATTCAACATTTATCAGTGACAAAAGTGGCACCACCTATCGGTTCGGTAAGGTACTCATTAGTTTGACAGCTGACTCATCGTCAACATTAAATCGGACTGTATAAAGTGCAATTTTAGTCAGTAAGACACTGAAATTTTTTTTATATTACAAAAGAATGTTAGGTATGTAAAAATGCCAAAGTGCGAAAAGAATACTGATTATTGTAAAAAGTACAGAGAAGAAGATTTACAAAAGGCCTTGAAAGCAATAAGCGATGGTTTACCGAAAAGAGAAGCTTCTCGTATTTATAATATACGGAGGGCAACGTTACAATTTCGATTATCCTCGAAATTCTCTAAAGCACGACCTGGACCAAGTACTGTTTTAACAGAGCAAGAAGAATTGACTCTTGTAGATTGGATAATGGAAAATCAAAGAAAAGGATTCCCTCGTAGAAAAGAAGATATTCAGGTATCATAATCGTATTATTAACTTGCATTCAAGACTATTAAGGGTAAACAGTACAGTTGTTTCCCTCTAACATTAATTGTCATCATAACACTTATTTTTTAAATATTAAACAAACCTATTTTTCGAAAATAATACAAACAACCTCTTCCTAACCTAAAATTGACCTGTCATTTTGACGTTTTACGATTCAATGCATTTTATTATTTACGTAGAAAATTATTAATTCTAACGAAAACCAATTGCTATAAATGCATTTTTATTCAATAATCTTAAATATTATATTAGATTTGAACAAATTATTTGTAATTTTTAGTGGTCAATCAGTTTAAATTAATGATCAATCATTGTACGAACAGGCTGTATCACTGTACTGTTTATCTTTATGTACCTACTTTAGCTTCGATTATGAGGACTGAAATATTATTTTTCATAAATTTACAGGTGTCTGTGAAGCAATTTTTGGATGCATCACCTCGTAGTAATCCATTTCCTCACAACATGCCAGGAATTGGTTGGTTTAACGCATTTTTAAGTCGTCATCCCAGTCTTGCTATTCGAACTCCAGAGTATATTACATCTGCATCAGCAAATGTTTCTGAAAATGATATAAAATCTTGGTTCGCTCAAATTTACAATTATTTGAATGATAATAACCTTCAGCACATCCTGCAAGATCCAAGTCGAGTTTATAACGGGGATGAAACTTGTTTTCAAGTTTGTCCGAAAACGAAAAAAGTAATCGGAATGAAAAATTCGAGAAACGTGTATGAGATTGAGGGCGGACAATCGAAACTTAATATCACTGTGATGTTTACATTTTCAGCGTCAGGGGATACTACTCCTCCAATGATAATTTATCCTTATGTGCGACTTCCATCTGCAATTGTACAATCGATTCCTAAAGAATGGAATTGGGGAATTGGTCTAAGCGACACCGGTTGGATGAAAACAGAACTATTTTATGAATATATAGGAAATGTATTGTATCCAAGTCTTAAAAAGAAAGGAATTAAGTTTCCAATTATACTTTTCGTGGATGGCCATAAAACTCATTTAGATAAAAGAGTTAGTGATTTATGTACAAAGTCGCAAATAATTCTTATAGCTTTATATCCAAATTCTACTAGAATCTTACAACCTGCTGATGTATCAGTGTTCAAACCACTGAAAAATGGTTGGAAAAATGGTTTATCTGCATGGAGGAGAGAGAATCCTACTAAAGAATTAACGAAGGAAAATTTTGCTCCACTTTTAAAAAAAGTAATTGATTTGTCTATAAATGCGGAAATAATTAAAAATGGTTTCCGAGCTTGTGGAGTGTGTCCTTGGGATCCTGATGCTATCGACTACTCCAAATGTCTCGGAAGTAGTGATTCTACGAATATTAAACCAAACACTGCAATGAATTTTGCCACTTTCAAAAATATTGTAGGCGAGGAAAAGGTAAATCTATTTCGAAGTTGGAATGATATGGACACTGAAAATGAAGAAAACGATTTATTCACTTTGTATAGACTTTATAAATATTATTCTGAGAAAGAGTCTAAAATTCTGGAAAATAATAATAAATCATCACAAAAATCGTTCGAAAATCAAGTTAATGATGCTGATCAAGCTAAAATTCTAGTTGAAGAGAATGATGCCTCTGAAGAAAGTACTCTTTCTTCAGATAATGTTTTTCAGATGGAAATTCAAGAAGAAAACATTGTGCAAATTAAAGAAATCAATATAGTATCTGAACAAATGCTTTCTGAAAATCATTTACAAAATTCAGAAATCTTGGACATGGAAGTAGTTATTGCACAAGAAAATAACCATTTAGATTCAACGTCAGATGTCGATTTAGAAAAACTTATTCAGGTTAATTCTACTGATGATAATAGTAATATTGCGACAAATAGTAATATTGTCGATTTAGAAAAAACTATTGAGATTAGTACTACTGATGATAATAATAATGGTAATATTACGAATCATTTGGCATGGCCGCTTTCTCCCAAAAGAAAGGGGAAACGAATAACTAAACGAATGCCTTACGTTTTGACAAGTGAACAGTGGAAAAATATGAAAGAAATGGAAAATCTCACTAAGGAAAAAAAAATTCAAGAAGTTGCAAATCGAAAGAGGGAAAGGGAAATCAAAAAGCAATTAAAAGATCAGGAACAAGAAGAAAAGATGAAAAAGAGAAAAGAAAAGACAAAAACTGCATTAAAAGAAAATAAGAAGAAAACAGTAAGCAAAATAGGAAAAAAATAAATGCAGAGGTATTATTATTTGTAAGGCGGTTAATCACTGTATTTTGATAATTTCATAGGCCAATGATTCAGTTATTGGCCTCTGCCAATTTCTATGTGTTTCGGGCCAATAAATGTATTTTTGACAGTTGTGTTATTTTATTTAAATATTTATTATTTACAATTTCCTACTCCTGTGTCATTATCAAACATTAAAAATAGAATAAATTTGCTTCCACTTTGTGTTTTCATAATTCATTTTTGACAGGTACAGCAAATTTGGCAATCAGTTAAACATAAAAATTCTCGTAAGGGGCCAATCATTGTACCGATTACCCTATCATTAGAATAATTTAGAGAGTTGGTAAACGTCTTATTCTGACGGCAAATAGATGGTCATCATTTTACAAATTCCAAGCGACTAGAATTGATTTAAACAATTTTTATCGGCCATATTGGATCCGCCATTTTGTATTTTAAAAATCCAATAGCAGATTCATAATCAGCGACCCCAAAAACCCCTGAGTAACAAGTTTCAAGCGAATCTAGTAAATTTAAATAATTTTTGTCGGCCATATTGGATCCGCCATTTTGTATTATGAAAATCCAATAGCAGATTCATAATCAGCGACCCCAAAAACCCCTGAGTAACAAAGTTCAAGCGAATAGAGTGAATTTTTACAATGTTCGTCGGCCATATTGGATCCGCCATTTTGAATTTTGAAAATCCGATTGCAGATTCACAATCAGCGACCTCAAAAACCCCTGAGTAACAAAATTCAAGCGAATCGAGTAAATTTTTAAAATTTTCGTCGGCCATATTGGATCCGCCATTTTGAATTTTGAAAATCCGAGTACATATTCGTGATGAGAGACCTCAAAAACATATAAACACTAAGTTCTGTTACATTTCATAACTATTGCCTGAATCGGTGCACTATAAAAAAAATTAATTAATTTTTTCTCAAATTAGCGCCATTTTGAAGCCGCCATTTTGTTTTTTTTGTTTCCGCTATTGCATATTTTGAAAGTTTAATAAGTTTGTGCCAATTTGTGACACTTGTATTCATTTGAAAAAAATGTTTTCAGTAAGAAATAATTATTTAAAAAAAAAAATTTCATTTTTTTCGCAATTTGGTGCACAAAATTCGCCATATTTAATTTTCTATGCGATAAATTTAAAATCTGAGCATGGAATCTTGTAGAGCGACCCCGAAAACATAAAGAAACGCTTCAGTTATTTTTAGGGAGCATGTTTAATATATAAAATTATATCTTAAATTAAACACAAAATTTCAAAGGTTTCAGGCGTTAATGGGTTAACACGAAAATTCCTATGTCACAAACAAACTTTTGGTTTAACCAACCGAAAAGTTTTCCTTATACCCTACACTTTTCAAGATGTAAAAAAAATTTCATGAAGTTTAAAACTAGTACTATTTAAAACAATTTACCTGAAAACAATCAGTCCCCAATTTTCCATTGCTCCGTGGATGTAGTTTGGAATAGCAATAATGTCAATTTTTGGCAATTCATATTTAACATCAGTGTACTCTTCTAAAACTGGCAGTGCTCGCGATATAATTTCAAGTCCAAGAGTCATTGACTCTACAACACTCTTACGAGACCAAATTGTTAAATTGGTCCCAGGTTTGGTAATATTCACAAAGTTCGAAACTGTAAAACAAACAAGGTACGTAGACATTGTAGGTGTAGTTTGGAAAATTGTCCAGACTTTTTCTTCTACAAAATCAAAATATATCGCCTTCACAGGCATATTAGAAAGAGCTGTATAATTTGAGAAATGCTTTATTGAAATGTCAAAAGTTGATTTTAAGGCGGGTTCATCCCAGCAAGGAAAAGCCATGCGAGCAAAACTTGGCTCAAATTGAGTTGCTGCTAAATATCTAGAAATAAAATTGTAAAGGAAAGATTATATAAATAAAAATTTTCACATGTCATTACAGAGAACAAAACGGGATATTAAATTATCTTATTAATATAATAATATTCTTTAATATAATTTGATTATATTTTGGGGGTTTATGTCACTAAATATGTTTTACAATCTTTTAAATAATTTTTCATAATTTGTAACAGGTTACGCAGTCATACATAACCCATATTACAACTCAATAAAAACCATTAAAAATAGAATAATAAATAATGTTTTTTATTTTAAATATATATATATATATATATATATATATATATATATATATATATATATATATATATATATATATATATATATCTTTATGTGATGGCAGTTCCCACGACCAATTCTGTTATGTAATGGCAGTTTCCGCGACATTTGGCAGGTCCCACGACCGTCGCGGAAAAATTTTTTATGTAAGGGCACTTTCCACGACCGAGAAAAAGTAGCAACTTCATAGACTTTCTGAACTTGTAGTTTCCACGACCACCCCACCAATTTTTCGAATCCACGCCCACTTTCAGTAACGCCTTGGTCGTGGAAAAAATCAGTAAACAGCTCATTTATATAGAACGAATAGGTTAAATTTTAGAATAATAAAGTAATAAATGAGGAGGAATAAAATTAAGAAAATTAAAAACCTTACAGTTGGGTTTTAAGGGCAACAGTATATTTGTATTAAATATCTTATTTTATGTAATTAATAACTACTGGACTATAGGAATTAAAAAGTAAAGTTTAAAATGCAGGATTAATATCTCGAACCAAAGCGACCTAAAATGAATGTGGAAACCAAAAAAAAGAAATTAAAAGAATTAGTGAGTGACTCCTGCTAAAAATAAAATCAGGAATAATGTTTTCTGAAGCTTTTGGTTAATTATGACTACTGGGTTCTTTATGCTTCGGTTGAATCCTGATGTTTATGGATTGTGATTATTTCTCATTGAATTCATCTCTTTTTATTTACATCCCCCCACCTAAATATAGTGGGTAACTGTAAAGTACCGTAATACCTATTTTTAATTTAACTTTATAAGGTCAGTTGACTTTTTTCCATGTAAAAAACCTGAATACTTTTAAAGTTTTTTAATTAAATATGACTCAAGTCTGATGTTCTCTGGCTGTAATGCGCTAAACATTTATTCAATCGGGACATTAAATTCTTTACACAACTTTCAATAAACATTGCAATTACATTTTCCGTACATTGCAAGTAAATATATAATAAATTTTTAGGAAAGTTTCGTTGCTGTGAGGGAAATCAGCAGACGTGTATGGTCGTGGAACCTGCCACGATTTATAACTAAAGTTTAAAAATATATAAAACTATACCACAACATAGTAACTCTACAATAAATGTAGAAAAGTGTAAATCACTTTTTATTTTTTAAAGTAGAATGTCGCAATAGTCGCCAAAGCTACATAATTCATGTCTCTTGCAGAAAATTAATCAGCAGCCGTGTATGGTCGTGGAACCTGCCACGATTTATAACTAAAGTTTAAAAATATATTAAAAAATACTAATACATAGTATCTCCACAATAAATGTAGAAAAGTGTAAATCACTTTTTATTTTTTAAGTAGAATGTCGCAATAGTCGCTAAAGCTATACATAATTCATGTCTCTTGCAGAAGATCAATCAGCAGCCGTGTATGGTCGTGGAACCTGCCATAATTTATAACCAAATTTTAAAAAAATATAACAAAATACCACAAAATAGTATATCCACAATATTGCCACAATATCGCAAAGCTATATACAGATAAAACATCTTTGTTGATAAGAATTGTTTTTGGAAGGAAAATGTCGAAGTGTGAAGAAGTTTTACAATATTGAAGAGCCTGGTCGTGGAACCTGCCACAGTATTCCGACTTAATATTTGCCCTTTTTTGTCACACAAAAAATTAACTACAACACCAAATATAATGTATAATTGACCAAGTGAAAAAATATTGTCTGTTTAAAATTGCGACTAAATACTAAATTAAGACTGCATATAGGTATCAAAAATGAAAATTTAACCTAAAAGTTTCTGCCGGTCGTGAAATATGTCTTTATAAATAAAAGTAGTCAAATTATCGAAATCCGTCAAGAAATGTGTGAACAATTTTTATTTTTAAAGTAGAATTTTGCAATAGTCACCAAAGCTAAATAATTCATGTTTCTTGCAGAAAATAATCATTTTGCAGAATATTAACCAGCAGCCGTGTATGGTCGTGGAACCTGCCACGATTTATAACCAAATTTTAAAAATATATAACAAAACACCACAACATAGCATTACACAATATTGCGTTAATATTGCAAAGCTATATACAGATAAGGGTACAGACAGACCTCCGCATGCAAAATATATGCATGCTGGTTGCCATCGTAACGTACAAGAGTGAGAGAGATAGGAAATTTTTATATCTCTCTCACTCTTGAACGCTTTCATGGCAATTTGCAAGCATAAGTGTTTCATGAAGAGGTCTGAACGCTCCCTAAATTATCTTTGTTCATAAGAACTGTTGTTAGAAGGAAAATGTCGAAGTTTGAAGAAGTTTTACAATGTCTCTTGCAGAAGATCAATGAGCAGCTGTGTATGGTCGTGGAACCTGCCACAATTTATAACCAAATTTTAAAAATATTTAACAAAATAACAGAACATAGTATATCCACAATATTGCCACAATTTCGCAAAGCTATATACAGATAAAACATCTTTGTTCATAAGAACTGTTGTTGGAAGGAAAATGTCGAAGTTTGAAAGAGTTTTATACTAACCAAGAGCCTGGTCGTGGAACCTGCCACAGTATTCCGACTTATTATTTGCCCTTTTTTGTGAGACAAAAAAATAACCACAACAGCAAATATAATGTATAATCGATTCAGTGAAAAAATATTGTCCGTTTAAGATTGCGACTACCCAGTGGGCACCCTTGTTCAAAAGGCGTCCTAAGGATGTCTTTTTGCGGACGTCTTTTGGACTTGTACAAAAAGACGTCTTTAAGACGTCTTAAAGACGTCCTATTCATGTTCTATGTCTTGGCCATTAGATGTCTTTAAGGTGTCTAAAAGACGTCTTTTTCATTCAACATTTGAAAATAGAAAAATTTTCATAAATAGAAAATATTATTTTCTAAGTGCAACTTGGACTTAGAAATTTTTGAATGTGAAATTCATTGGAATTTTTCTAAGTTAAATTCATTTCATTGACAAGTGAGATCGTTAACTTTGTAGAGGTTCATATCTGTCTTGAACGGCTGAGGTGCTTAAGGCGCAGTGTTTCAAGCCCAAGGTATCCGAGTTCGATCCCAGCTTCGTAGGAATTTTTTCATTATTTCTCCACATTTTAGAAAAAATAAAATTAAACTTAAAATAAATTTAATACAATATTACTGAATTTCAAATTAGAAAATGTTATAAAAGAAATGTTTATTTAAGATCTAAAGGAATGTAAAAAGGACGTCCAAAAGACGTCTTAAAGACGTCTTTTAGACGTCCCTTTTATCTCTTTTAGACGTCCAAAAGACGTCTTTTAGACGTACTTTAGACGTCCTTTTTTATGTCTTTTAGAAGTCTTTTGGACGTCTTTTGGACCAGACATAGAACGTCTTTTAGACGTCTTTTAGCTGTCTTTTTGATGACTCAGAGACATTGCCATCATTGTCCCCGAATCGTCCGCGGACAAGAAGGGACGTCTTTAAGACGTCTTTTAGACGTCCCTGTGCCCACTGGGTAAATACTAAATTGTAACTGCATAATGTTATCAAAAAATAAAAATTTAACCTAAAAATTTCTACCGGTCGTGGAATATGTCTTTATAAATAAAAAGTAGTCAAATTATCGAAATCCGTCATAAAATGTGTAAACAATTCTTATTTTTCAGAGTATAGAATTTCGCAATAGTCTCCGCGTATGCGGTCGTGGAACCTGCCACGATTTATAACCAAATTTTAAAAATATATAACAAAACACCACAACATAGCATGTCCACAATATTGCGTTAATATTGCAAAGCTATATACAGATAAGGGTACAGACAGACCTCCGCATACAAAATTTATGCATGCTGGTTGCCATCGTAACGTACAAGAGTGAGAGAGATAGGAAATTTTTATATCTCTCTCACTTTTGAACGCTTCCATGGCAATTTGCAAGCATAATTGTTTCATGAAGAGGTCTGAACGCTCCCTAAATCATCTTTGTTCATAAGAACTGTTGCTGGAAGGAAAATGTCGAAGTTTGAAGAAGTTTTACAATGTCTCTTGCAGAAGATCAATTAGCAGCTGTGTTTGGTCGTGAAACCTGCTACAATTTATAACCAAATTTTAAAAATATTCAACAAAACACCACAATATTGCCACAATATCGCAAAGCTATAATATACAGATAAAACATCTTTGTTCATAAGAACTGTTGTTGGAAGGAAAATGTCGAAGTTTGAAAGAGTTTTATACTAACCAAGAGCCTGGTCGTGGAACCTGCCACAGTATTCCGACTTATTATTTGCCCTTTTTGTGAGACAAAAAAATAACTACAACAGCAAATATAATGTATAATCGATTCAGTGAAAAAATATTGTCCGTTTAAGATTGCGACTAAATACTTAATTGTAACTGCATAATGTTAAAATAATTGAGGGGCTGGAATCCGAGGTTTTGATATAACCCCAAAAGACCCATATGGCGGACACCTTTTGGAAAAATTTATCGGATTCGCTTGAAACTCGTTACTCGGGAGTTTTCGGTATCGCTGATTACGAATTTGAAGTCAGTTTTCAAGTATTCAAAATGGCGAATCCAATATGTCGGACACTTTTTTTGTAAAATTTATCGGATTTGATTAAAACCTGCTACTCGGGTGTTTTCGGTGTTACTAATTGAAAATTTATAGTCAGTTTTTAAAAATTCAAAATGGTGGATCCAATATAGCAGACACCTTCTGGAAAAATTCATCGGAT